TAAGATTAAGGTTAAATAGGTTGAAATTGGACAGTAATAAGTTGGAATAAAGGAAGAGCTAGTTAAGGTAGAGGTAAAGAAGAAGAACTATTTTCAAGAGTCTGTGATTAAGGTGAATAAGTAGGAGTGTAGTGTGAGCTAGAGGTTTCTGTAAGATCTATGAAAGCAGTAATATATTTTTCTGTTTTTAAATTATTAGTAAGTAATAAAGGAATTTGTAAAATTCAATCAAAGGTATAATGACTTTTAAAAAGTTTAGTAGATATAACTAATTTATTATAAAGAGCTAAACTATTTTTTAGATTGCATAAAAAGGTAACATTATTAGTAAAAGTAATATTATCATCAGTAGTAAGTGATAGGATAGGATTTTCTAGATTTCTAAAATATTAACTAAATTCTTTTGCTTCTTTGAAACTAAAACTTAGAGAAGCATTGAAATAAAGGTTAAAAGTGTTTTGATATTTAAAAAATAAGATAAAAAGTTAAAAAAGATTGGTATATCTTCTAACTAAAGCTAAGGCTATTGTTTTAAGATCACTAATATCTTGTTAGTATTGACAACTAAAAATAATATCTTTAATGCAAAGATGAAGTATAATTTGATCTGAATATTAAGTAGTAAAAATGATAAAGTTGTCCTAAGTTTGGAAAGAACAATGTTAAGCTGCAAAGTTGGTTTTGTACTAAGTTCAAAATTGTCCAAAAGGTAAGCAAGAGCTAGTACATTAAAAGAAGTAATACTGAAGACAAAATAAATCTGGATGCTATGCTTGAAGTACATTTATTACAAGATAAGATCCAATTAGATATGCTTGTTAATAGTTTTAAATGTTTTTATTATGGAGTTTAGCAGTAGTATAAACCATAAAAGAAGAGATGTTTATATGTTCAGGACTTTGTCAGAATAACTAATGCTTATTTAAATTTCTTGTTAGGATAACTAATACTTATCTGAATCTCTTGTCAGGATAACCAATACTCATCTAGGTCTCTTACTGAGATTACTTTTTCAATACATTTTGGAATGTCTTATTTAGAATGACTTGTTTCTCTTTAAAAATTTAATCTTCCTACCAGAAGGCATCAAATGTTATAGGTGAAAACCTTTTTAATTTTATACTATAGTGATGATATGATACAAAGAATCCCTCACAGGTATATGTAATGTCTAAGAAAGAAGTATAGCTTCTGTTAGATGTTGTTAAAAAACTATATTCTTCTCTGAGGCAGTTTAAAAAAGGTAAAACAATACTAATAACTTTACTTTATTTTACTAAAAGAAGATAAACTTTGTCTGTATAAATTACTCTAAAGAAGGAATATCAATATAATTTATAATTAAAAACTATTTATTAAAGTAATAACAAAAAAGGCTATTCTTAGATTTCTGTTTATAAAGAATCCCAAAATGTGTTTATAATATTAAAAGAAAAAAGTGTGTTTGTTGCTTAATCAGACTTGGAGAATTTAGAAGGTTTATATATTCATGAACTAAGTGACTAAGCAACTAAGCAATTAAGCATTAAGCAACTAAATAATTACTAAGTAACCAGAAGGTTTTAGCAACTAATAACTAATGATTACTAAATGACTAATTACTAAATAACTACTACTAATAATAATACAATAATAAAATAACTATTACTAAATAATAATAATAAAATAATAATAATAATAATAATAATAACTAATAATAATAAAATAACAATAATTTATTTTATAACAATATAAAAACAATTGTCAGTATAAATTCCTGATTGACTAATCAGAATTTAAAATAAGATGTAATGTAAAATTAAAAAAATGTTTTTTTATAAACAAAACATCACATTAGTTTAAAGTTAGAGGTTAAAAAATTATTAGATTAGCAACATGCAATAGTAAAAAACATTTCAATCCAAAATTTTGCAAGAAATTTTATTTTCTTAGTATGCAAAAAGTGGTTTTACAAATAATTTTTTAAAAAAATCATAATTTTCATATTACACCTAATCTCAAATTCTGATTAGTTAATCAGGGTGGCTTAATAAAATTTAGTATAAAATCAGCTAACTAAATAAAATCAATTACAGAACCAAACCTTTATGTTTGAAATGAAAAGGTTAATTTCAGCCACAAATTATGTAAACAATTATATAATGTGAGCCAAAATTAAGAGTCTGTCATAGTGTTTTGTATAGTTTAGTTTAGTTCAGGTTTTATGCAAACCTGAACTTAAACTGAAAAATTAATTCAGGTCTATATCTAAACCCAGAACTAAGATACCAAAACTCAAAACTGAACCAAAACCCAATTAATTACTTTTTAAATGTTATATAAACATTAAGATTATATAAAATATATACTATATAGATACATATTTATTATACATACTATACAGATATATATATTTATTAATAATTTGATTTTATACTATGTTTTATGTATTGGTATTAGCAAATATATATATATATAAACTTAAATTGAATAAATAAGAGTTATTAAAAAAAATAAGACTTCGGATTTCAATTTTCCTTAATAACATTAATGCTTATTAATTTGAATAAATATTTTTTTTTTAAATATTAAGGTAAATACATGCAATCCAGAATTTTACTAATAGTATAAGTTGGCCAGTGCCTGTACATGTACAGACACAGAGGCAATTACAAAAAAAGTATACAACTAGCCACTCGTACAACTTTAGTCATTGTCTAATTTAAGTAGTCCACTGAAGGTTCTATACTAATTGCTATACATAGAACCTACCTGTAGATCCTCTATTTAAACACTCTGATCCTGTATTCACATACTCTACTAGCGACTCCGATAAACTGATGAAGATATGCCATGGTTACTAAGTCATGTTTAACTTTGTACTAAACCTACTAGTGCATTCTGTATCCTATACTTACAGCTCACCTGGTCATGCTTTGGCCTAAACCATCACTTGCAATTAGAGCTAACTATTAAACTGCTTTTACTCTTGTAAGGTTTACCCAAAATCCTAATATCTATCTTTCCAATATCTTCTCCATCATTCTCTACTAACTGCTACTTAGAACCGACAAGACTCCTCAGACTTCCAATCCAGATGGTCTGATATAGTATATCTTAGTATTTTTTTTTTCAGCGATTCTGATGGCCTGGTTGGTCATATGCTCCTTTATACATCTTGCTATCTGGTTTATTTGCCTATTCCTTTGGGGGTGTTTCATGGGCTTCCATCAGTTTGACAGTACTGTTGAAAGTTTTGTGCTATCTCCTTACTTGGGATTTCCAAGTAGGTTTCCAACTCTTCAGTTCCTTTGCTTTCTGTACCTGATAGTCTTATCATGAGTTTGCACCAAAGTCTTATGCAATACCGGTTATTAATATTTCTCTATGTAGGTGTAATGTTACACTTAGCATAGATGCCCTGAGCTCTCATTCGAGATAGTGCAACAAAGGTTACAGATACACCAATCCAACCAATCAACAGAGACAGTTACTGTAACACAGACCTATTTTCTAAAATTTGTCATCTATAGGATTTGAACTCTAGACCTGCCACTTGAGGGTTGACAACCTAACCACTTCACTAGGTCGCCACACTCCTAATTTGAATAAATATATTGAGTTTATTAAGTAATATTTTTTATAAATCAAAAATTGAACTATATTTATAATTGTTAAAAACAAATATTATTTAATTAACTTTTAAATAAATTTATATATATCTAATTAATCTTGATATTCTTTTCACCATAATTACAAACATATTGCTAATCAAACTGTTTTTTTACTTAGTCTGTTTTACTTATTAGTTATTATATTATTATTAATACTAAAAACATATTAACTTGAAATACTTGTTCCTAGAATTAAAAGACAATCTTGTGTGAATTTTGTAAGATTTAGATAATTTGGCTTATTTATTTGCTACTATTCTAATATATTAATATTTGGATCTGCATGTGGCATTAAAAAATAAATATCTAATTTACTTTGTTAATCTGTATATATTTGCTTATAAATTTGTATTATTATTATAGATTGTATAATAGTTTCATATAATGTATTTTGATTAGAAAAAAAGTGCATATTCATTTTATATTTGTTTTTAATAATATTTTTAATATTAATAATAAGTTGTGATAGCAAATTAAGTAATTCAAAAAAATAAAATTTAAGTTATAGATCTAATATTACTGATGCAAGATATAATATATTTGTCTTGCTATAATAATTTATAAGTTTTTTTTTTGCAATATTACATTCTTGAACAAATCAAAATAACAGATTATATTTCTTTTTAACTTTCTCAAAATTTTCAAACAATGTATAATATAAGAAAACAGTCATTGTTAGAGTTGGATATTCTGATGCAGACATAATTGTTACTGCATCTTTAAATAAATGCAAAACTTCTATAATAAGTTCTATCTTTGCCTAATCTTTATCTGTAAGAATATATTGACACAATTCTGCTTCTGCAAAAGTCATTAAATCCAATACAGCTTTTAGTATTATCATTCATTCACACATTTCATATATAGAATTCCATCTTGTAACTATATCAAGAATTGGTTTTATTGCATTTATATTATTTAATAAACACATTGTTTTAATTTTTTACAATGTAATTATAATTTTCGAATACATTTAATTAAATCTTGTAATTTATTTATTTTAACTTCTATAACACTTAATATGCTTTGAACTGCAAGATTTAGAATATGAGCAAAATATCTTATAAATTGTTAATTATTATTAAATTAAAAACCTAACTGCATTGTAAAACTAGAAAAATCTTGTACAAATTTAATATTAAAAGAAGTATTGTTATATGTAACTGCTATTAGTTTTGATAAAATTCTATTAGATTGAAGACAGTTTTTTATATTATTAGCAATTTCAGAACCTAAATATAGACTATCTATATTTATAAAATCTAAAAGAATATTTTTTAATGTTCAAGATGCATTTATATAATAAAGCATAATTGCTATAAATGATTTATTATTGTTATTCATTGTCTATATATTAGTCATTATTAAAAGTTTTTCAGAAATTTCTTGTAATCTTTCATAAAGCTTAATACATTCTTCTTTAAAATCATTTATAATATATCTTCTTATTGAATTAGCTGTTAGTGCAATTATATTAAATTCTAAATATAAGAATATTTCTTTAAGATCATCATCTTTTATAATGTTAAATAGTCTATTATAGTTAACAATCCAACATTTAATAAGATTTTTAAAATACACCAAATTAAAAGTTTTATAAGAATGTTTATTAATAGATGATTGGTTTTTTAATATATTTATAATAGTAATATTTAATTTTTCTTTATCTAATTCAGACACTTTTTTTTTATATATAGTAAGATGTTTTTTAAGACTTGATATTAAGCCTTCAGCACATTTTATTAATTTTTTGTTTTTAGAACAAAATCTATATTTAGCATAAAAAATGTTTTTTTTCTTATCAAAATAGTTTCATATAAATAATTTATATATAGAATATTTTTTACTAATAGCTTCTATTTAGAATATTTTATATTTTCTAAATTATCAGATTTATTATTATAAAATTTATTATAAAAATTAGTATAAGAATCATATATATTATAATTATTTGTAAAAAAATTAGTTTGTATTAAGATGAGAATTGTCAAAATCTTCTATAATAATATAGTAATAAATGATAGTTAAACTTCTATTTTTTTAAAAAAATAGATATTTAAGTTTATATATATTATAAAACTTAAATTTCATATATTAATTCAATTATATTATGAAACTTATTATTTTAAACTATTATTATTATACTTTTAATCTATTTCTGATTTAAGGTTTGTTTAATTACTAGTTAATATATATATGCATATTAGCATTTAGTTGAAAATATTATCAATTATACTATTACTAATTATGATTAGCATAATTTTATATTTCTTGATGCTTATATATATCATATATAAGGTTTGAGATATAATTATTTTATTGTTATTACTTTGAAAAGTCTTGTAGTTAAATGCTTTAGTTTATAAAATAAATGTCTATCTTAATATAGTTTTAGTATTAGATGCTGGATTGTTCTTTTTTTATATTCTTGTTTTTATATATAGATTTAACAATTAACTTGTATATTGAATCACTATAGGTTTTTTTTTGTTAATACTTTAAAATATCAAATTTAAAAAGTAAAAAGTTTTTTACATTTAAATTTGCTTTTATTTAAATATTACAATTATTAATCAAAAGTTTATTTAACTATCTGTATAACTCAAACTATCACAATAAACTTTATATATTTATATAACTAAATATTAATATTAATTTAACCAGTTAAAGATAAGTATTACTTTATTGTATTTTATTATTTATATATACATTTTACAAAACTAATTAATTTATTTTTTATCTATAGCAAAGGCAATGCTTGATTCAAAGTGAATCCTTCTTGTCTGTGATCAATCACAAATTAAGTTATTTATGTTGAATTATATTAGATTCAATTGCAATTGATATAATTTCTCATCAGTTTTTATATATATGCAACATTAATGGTCTCTGCTGTTTTTTCTGCTATATTTATAAAATTTTGATTGTTTTCTTACTGAAACATAATTCTAATCTATTCTCAATTTGGCCATTTATACCAATTATAAGGCAAATGCATACATAATTAGTTAGATTCTTGAATACAATTGTTGATCAGTTTATTTAATTGTCTAATAAATTTAATTTACTTTTACATTATTTATACAGTTTAGAGTACTTTTTAAAAAAATAAAAACTAATTATGATAAAATAAAAAAAGCTGTATATGAGATTTTATTAGAAGCTGTAGACTCAATAGTCAAAATAAGATCTAATTTTTGTCTATTTAAAATAATTAGCTTAGTAATAAGTTGGTTTTGAGAAGCTATTACTATACTAACTTTTTTAAACAAATGAGAATTGGATCTTATTTTTGGTTATGAAGTTCTACAGCTTTTTTTATTTTATTATAATTAGTTTTTATTTTTTAAAAAAGTACTTTAAGCTGTATAAATAATGCAAAATTTATTAGCTGATTAGACAAACTTTTGCCTATGAATTAGATATAGTCTCTGAAATGATACATAATGAGATTAAAAAAGAGATATATTGTAGTATTTTAGCACATGTCTAAATTATATATTATACAGATTTTAAAGACTGTATCTAATATGTTTTTAAAAAAACTAAAGTTAGGTTTTTTTTGATGACATATTTATATTATTAAAATTGCTTTTATATAGTAGAATATGCATATTGAACACTTAAAATTCTTTTGCTAAAGATCAGATGAAAATTTATGCAGGTCTATATAGGTCATCAGATACCCACTTCTGAGAACCAAAATCAGGAAGTTCTAAAAATCATAGAACCAGACTTAACCCAATGGGCTAGTTATCAGTTTGATTCTGAGTTTCAGTTCAGTTTTGTAGAACACTAGTCTGTCATGAGAAAATTGGTGCAATAAATTAGATTTTGTGACAACAAGCATGATGGAAGTTCTATTTTATTGGCTGCAACATTTAATCTACAAATCACAATTTTTAAATTATGATTGGCCAATAAAAATTCTATATAAAATAAAATTTTTCAAATTTTTGCAATATATTTGTTACAATACAAGTTTTGGTGTAATAGTTGAAGTTTATCTAAATTGAAGTTTATATTAAAGTTTTGGTTAAAAGTTGGTTGTGGTCGAGTTTTGTATTAGTTATTTTGTGTTAGTTAATTTTCTTATTAGTAAGTTTTTTTGAAATAAGTTTTTTTTTAAAAAGCTTTGTTACATTTAAGTACTTGCTGTAGTTTAATTTTTTTTTTGTTTAAAAAGTTTGTTTGGTAAAATCATTGTTTACTTCTCTATAATAATCAAGTTTCATTGTGGTTAAATTCCAATAATAATCTAGTATTGTTATAGTAAATCTTTGCAGTGGTAATAAAGTTTTGCAGTAGTTGACTTCTGCTATAGTAATCACTTCACTGTGATACTTTGCTGTAGTAAGCATTTCATCATAATACTTTGTTATGATAGTTGTTTCACTGTGATACTTTGCTATAGTAATTGTTTCACTATCCATATCAAGGTTCATTGTACTGCTACAATTAGTTTAATGTGATAGGTTAACTATTGTTAAGGTATAGAAGGTATTATGATTGTTATTAATTTAGGAAGGTTTTTTTTTTATTAGAAATATCAATTAAAAATTTTGGTCCTTGCTTAGTTATTGATTATGTAAATACCAATATCAAATTTTGCATAATTACAGAACTTGCATATAAAAAATGTTGTATAAAACAAACTCTAGAAGCATACTCTTACCTAGTGCTTTGAATTAGATTGAGCTAACCCAAAACCTGACTTGAAATTTTAGGTCAGGTCAGGTTTAGATTAGAAAAATCTGATCCAAAAATTTTGAGTTGGGTTCAGTTCAGGTTGAGAATTAACTCGAACTGAACCCAACCTGACTCAACCCAAAATTGTCTAATTAGAAATGTTCAAAATAAGCATTTTATATGTTTTTTTAAGGTTCTAATAGCAAGTATATATGTTTATCATGGCAAGTATATATTTTTAAATAGTTTAAATAAAACCATTAATCAGATTTCTTTAACCAAAATTGTTATGGCAGATCCTTGATTTTGATTGGTTAACAGCCGCAGATCGTAAAATTTTGGCCCACATTATATAATTTACTAATTTCTAGTCATAATATTGATTTTTTTTTATTACAAAAATAGAAATTTGAGAAAATAATCTTGCATTATGATAAAATTTGCTCAGAAACAATAATAAAATTCTAAGTAATTCTGGCCAAATATTTTGTTCATTCAAAATCGAGAATCTGCCATGAAACTTTGTAAGGCAAAATCAATAAAATTTTTTTTTAATTCTATGAATCATAGAATAAAGATAAAAAAACTTTCATTGATTCTAGTATGCAATCCATAACTTTTGCTATAATAGTTATAATGCATATCGAGTTTGGATTTGATTAGTCAACTTTGATAGTTATCATTATATGAATTTTAAGAACAAAATAGGCAACTGAATTCCTTTTTTTTAAAAATTTTAATATATTAGCCTTAAAATTTCAGATTGAGTTGGATTGGTTTCAGTTCAGATTAGGTTCGAGTTGGCTTATAACCTGATCTGAACCAACCTATTAGGAGCACTACTCTTATCTAAAAATTGAGAAACAACTTTGTCATCCTTAATATTGTAAACTAGTAAAACCAGATAGAAAATAAAAAAAAATAAAAAATACATACTAAAAAAAAAAAAAATTAAAACTAGTACAAAAAAAAAAAGAATTAGAGCCAGTAAACTCTATATCAAACTATAATAATATATTTGAATTTAGTTTTATATTATTTTTTTATTAAATTACTTATTTATTTATTTTTTTTAACTAAAACACATTTGTCTTACATATAGAAATATTTACAAAAGCACTATATTATCAACAATGTTGGGAAGGTTTTAGCTTAGAATTAGATCTAATAAAGTTTAAATTTATAATTAAAACTATCAACTCCAGGCTTAAAGATTTTTTAATTTTATAGTAGATGTAATTATTCCTCAAGAATGTTTAGCTTATAATAGAAATGAAGCCAAAAAATCATTTGTTGGTTTATATTACATAATGGCAGGTTTGCACAATAAATTTGTAAACCAACATAAATTAGAAGTGAGATTATACTTAATGGTATCAGGTATGACATGAAAGGATATTAATATAATGTTGATTTTTAAATATTTAGCATATATGAAAACTATAGAAGAATATTAAAAACAAATACAAAAAGAACATAAAACAAAAATTATAAAATATTTTTTAGAATATGTATTGTAATTTTGAAATTTATATGAATATTATATGAAATATATTTATATACTAAGTGCATTTGTAAAATTAATACTAGGGTTAGATTGAGAGTTTAAATAGAACACCTAAGCAGGGATGTTAGATATGGCAACTAGTAGGAAACTCTCGAGTGACTCCTTAAATAAGCAATATAGAAAAGTTATACATGTAGTTAGTTGTACACTTGTTTAATAGTTCATTATAGATATGTCTATATAAACATATATCTGCTATAAGTATTAATAAAAAGCTCAGACCAAAGAGGTTACCTTAATACTGAAAAAAAAAACTAAGTGCATTTTTATATTTAATAGATTAATTTATTTTATGTTTATAATATTGATGATTACTATTCCATCTATGAAAACTATAGACTAGATACAGTATTAATCTTAACTGCTAACTATTTTGCTACTTATATAACAAAATTAATTTTTGAATGCCTTTCTATATTGCTTATATTTAATAATGTATCAATAACTTATACAGAAAGATCCCCAAAATTCTAGGTCAGAATACCTTAGATTTAGCCTAATATTTAGTTAGCATTTAGTAATATAAGTTAATCATTTTGGGCCAAAATTATCAGTTGGACAGCTTTACTTAATAAGTAAGCTATAGTTTTATTAGCAAAACTTTTAGTGATCTTGGGCAAAATTAGTTAATTCTGACTCTGTTAATCATAATTCTGATGTATTCTGACCTGGAATTTTGAGAATCATTCTGTATGAGTTCGCATCAATACACAATCTAGCAAATGTTAAAACATTAAGGATTTGCTGGTATTTGCTTAATTAATATATTAGGATCTTAAATATTTCATATTTAGATTATCAGTTATATAGAATTATACAAGATTGTTTAGTAAATAATAATTTTGATCTGATTGAAATATTAACAGTATATAGTTATGCAAACAATATAAAAGAATATAAAGAAGAATGATTACTACAGGAACTTTAGCTTATAGGATTTAGAGAATAAAATTTGCACTCTATATAAGATTACATTAATGTATTAAATATTATATTATCAATAAATAGCACAATATAACATTTGAATAAATGGGTCATGCCAGTTGTTGCAAATTGGTCTGGCCAACTTTTTATTAGAAAAGCATTATATACATAATTACTACTTAATTTACAATTATTTTTGCCTAATTTAGATCTACTTCATGTATTACTAAATAGTAAAGAACAAGTTCTTATAATATATCATTCTTTTTTTAAAAAATTATTTTATTTTGTATTTGGCAAGAATAAAAAATTGGCAAAAAAACCTTATTTTTAAAGAATAAATCTATTGTTAAAGTTCTCATGAAGTGAATAGTTAAAAATTAAAAATCAAATTATTAGTAAATTTGATCAAACATGTAAAGACATTGAGTATCAAATTATAATAGACTTACTTAAAAATATAGTTCCTATAACACTTAATGTTTATATATTAACATTTTGTTCAGGTCAATTCAATAAATATGTAAAGCTAATTTTCTGTATTTAGACATTCACTTTGCATTAAAAGCAGAAAAATTATAATAAAGTGCCTCTTATATTTCTGTCAGATTTATTCTATTAGAATGTTATTAATTATTCTTTTTTAAATATATTACAGGAACATTTAACAAGTTGCAATAAGTATTATATAGAAAATGTATACAACAAAATTAGAAGGAATACTTTCTGAAACACAACAACTAAAAACATTATTAAACAGACATATGTTATTATGAATCACAATTCTGTCTTTAAAAATATTTACTACAAAACACAATGATATCCATATACTGTAACAACACTAGATTTTTTATGTAATAAAACTGCACTTTATCTTTTATAACACTTTTAAAAAATTTTTTACAATCAAGAAAAAAATATCTCGAAACCTAACAAAAAAAAAAAAAAAAAAACTACCAACAGCATACCACCTTGCTATTTTAAATGAAAATGTAAACTTGCAACATCTACCAATGGCTTACAGTACAATACATCTCCTACATTCTGAATTGTGTAACTATTGTGAACTTTCACTTGTTAATGATAGTGTGGTATACATTTGTGACCATAATTATCATATGGGTTGTTTGATAAAAGGTGCATTCATTGTGTTGAATTTTATAAAAAAGAAATTTTTAAAAATGTTAGTAAGTTTTTAAATAGAATTAAAAAAAAAACAGATACACTTACCAAAGAGAATCTTGACAATGATGAAGAAGATGTAAAGGATATGGAAGAAAAATCTAAAGAGGTAGAGAAATCATTGGATGTTTTATCTAAATTGACAACAGAAATTAATAATATAATGTATTGGTAATCATAAAAAAAACTTTCCACTAAAACCAAATAAAAATTGAATAAATTTTGTTTGAAAATTATTAATTTCTAAAAATTTTTAATATTTTAAAATTTTTTATAACTAAATACAACGCACCCATCTCCTTACACTAGTCAAAAATTAAAAAATTTAGTAAGTCAAATGGCACAATTCAAATGCCATTTGACTTGTTATTCGATATTATTACATAAGTTTACAGATATACATTGTGATAATATGTAATGGTTCGAATAACAAGTCAAGTGGTATGTTGAATGGCATTCGAACGTGCCATTCAACTTGTTGAATTTTTGAATTTCTACTAGTGTAAGTTAGAGATTGGAACCGCCTAAAATTTTCTTAATCGTTTAATCGTTTAACCGTATTAACCGTTTGATTCGGCCGGCATCAGGATAATCCTGGCCAATAATCAATATAATTCGGCCCAGCATTACGAAGAAATTTTTACGCGGTTAAACGGTTCCAATCCCTAGTGTAAGTTCATGCCCTCAAGAACATAGAAAAAAAAAGGAATGCCCAGAGATCACCCAGAGATCGTCGAGATGTTTCTTCACAAATACTTTATGTCGCAGATGGTCGACTTTTTTGGTGTCTCATCATATGATATACTGCCTACCCCTAGGTTTTTGTTATTTAAATTTTGTGTAACAATCGTGCATAAATAGAACTTCCGTCATGCTGCGGCGACGTATAATAATATTTTCAAAACAATATCAAAAACAGAAAATCTAATTTTAAACTGTAGGTTATTATTCGGCGAGCAGGCCAAGAGCAGAATTCTACGCAAATTTTGCCACCGCAGATTTCTGGACATTCTATTTTGGACATAGTCTAAGAGCAATAGTATTCCAATTTTATTTTTCGTTTGAACAAAAATGACATGTTCT